AGCAAGATAACACATAATGATGCTCAAAGGTGTTGTGTTTTGGTAAAGTTTTGAGTCTGTGTTTCTGTAGGGTGGTCTGATTCTCAAAGGAGATGCAGAATCTTACTGAAATCTTTTGTAATATGATCACAATTCTATTTGGTATAGTTGAAGGCACTGTATTTATGCCATTTGTGTTTAGTATATGACTTATCTTGTAAGAAGTATGTTTAAATCATTGATTAGAAAAAAAGGTTTTAATTATGCAGACATTAATTACTTGCTATATTAACACTCATCCTTTCACTTTTTATATTGATAGATATGTATACTAATAAGCACAGTTTATGATTACATATAGGACAAACTGGCACACTACATGCACCAGTATTTTAGCAAATTATAGTCAGGGATAAAACGTGTCCACACCTTGTGTACAAGAGATGGAGTGATTTTTTAAATAACATATTTTGGGGAGAGAAATGGGCATTTTATTTGCCATCAAATGTGGTAACTATAAGCAGTTTGTGGACCCTAGCTCTTACTTTATATGTGTACTTTGAGATGCTATAGTACTATTGAATATATGATATTACAGTCTTAATTGATATTTTGTAGCAAATATATCAATATTTAATAAATGATATTTCATTAGGAAGTATCTACTTTGTTCAATTGTATTCATTAATTACATCAAATCCTGTTTGTATGTATTGCAAATATTACTGTCTGATCCAGTATTTCTTATGTTGACATTGGGTAATGAATTTATCAATAAACTAAAAAAGTCAAGTAACACAAGATACTGAACCACAACATTCTCTCACCTGCCCCAGAGCAAAACTCAGAGCCATTGCTGCCTCTGCCTCCAACACATGGGGTCTGTTCTGGCTGGTGTTACTTCTTGGCTATGGGTTAGTGGAAGTTCCGCGCTCCATTTGGCACTCCGCCTCCACTCTGCACACACTCCACCATGCATACTTCCGTGCAGCAAAGCTCTCCCAAGAAAAAGCTGAAGCTAATGAGCATGTCAGTGATTTGCTACAGGTAAATGTATATTTTATATTTATTTCCCTATTTCCCTTTTGAGTCTTTTCTTCTCTTCCTTTCTCTTTGTCCTTATGTGTTATTAACCCATTGCCTCTGCTCCGAGTACTATGCGCAGCTGACTGGGATTGCCCCCGGGACCTATTTTAGGTGCGGTTGGTGCTTAGCACTTGCCACGCTACAGCAACAAACAGATGTGATTTTTTATTTTTTTATTTTTTATTTTTTATGATTTTATTTTTGCGTGGATATTGAGATGCATGATGTGTGTTGCTACATTAACCCATTCACGCCGGGTAAAAATGAACAAAAAACGGGGGAAAATTCTGTGCTCATTTCTTATACTTTTTATGAAATTTTTCTACACTAGATGGCTCTGCCTTACCTGATTTAATTTGGCGGGAAAATGTATTTTTACTAGTACAATGAATATCGATGGTTATTTTTATTATAAACATTATAATTACTATAATGTTAGTAACAGCAAAGTAAGATAAAGTATAATATTTTCGTAAATTAAAGAAAAGGATAAACAGGCGAGACAGGCAGTACAAGTACAAGTGCAGCCATCTATGTGTAAAAACAATTAAACAAGTAAACTCACAGTGGGCCCGTCACATATATGGGACACCCGGCGTGAATGGGTTAAACTTATGGTATGGTCATTAGAGTCCATTTCAATAAATAAGGTATGTTGCACACTGTGTACAAGGTTGAATGTGATTTTATTGAAAGTCAAAAAAACAAAGAAATCACTCATTTTCACAAATCTTAATTTTATAAAATATTAGATTATATGCAGTGATATAGGAGGCTGTTGCCCCCCATGGCTTCAGTATTCCTTATCTTTGTATCCTACTTCAAAACAGAGTCCCAAAAGACAAAGTGAATAGTTGACAGGCAATCCCCCAGGCATGTAGTGTGGGCATAAGGGTTCCTTATAAAGAATGTTATAAAATGTAATGCACGCATCATTATTATGATGTGAATCATCTGAAGCCGTGACCAAGTCAGCCTTGACGTGAATCCCACTTCATCTGTAGGCTACGAGTTAAATCACTGATAAACAAATTCTATAGGGTTCATTTTTATATCCACATCAAATTCAAAGATATTTGTCTCATTATATAACCCCCACAACCATAGTCACTTCCTGCCTAATGCTCTCCTTCCACTTTGCAGAGCATGCGGGCCCTGGGGGGAAGCATTGGCTTGGGCCACCCACTACGTTCACACATGGACGTCATTGAAAACAAGGTCCCTTCAGAGCTCCTGGATAGAGTTCGCCAACACCCCACCCCTGACTCCCCACATGCAGATGTACCCTCCGAGAAGGCACTCGTCAGGTTGCACAAGCAGGTGAGGAAGAGGGATGAAAGATCTATAATGAGGTGAGAGGGAAAGTTGAAAGCTGCACTTGCAGATGCCAGAGCAGGTTGAAGGTTACAGAAGCTGCTAAAGAAATTGAAGGTTAGAAGTGATTGTCATAACTCAGAAAGTGGTGAAGGAAAAGGCAGATTGCACTCCACAAGCATTGTTGATTTTTTTAGCTTTTTCATAATTTTTCAGAAGCAATAGATAACAAAAAGAGTGATTGAGTTTGTTTATTTTTACATTTGATTCATAGATAATTCTCAAACAGTTCATCTTTCCTGTAACAAACTTCCAAATTCATCTTTTCAGTTGATAAAGGCCCTGCAAAACCAGAGACGTGTGGAGACTCAGTGGGGGTTGCTAGTGGAGAACATTGCATACTTGGAAGACACACACCGGAATGCAGTCTCTCATGATACCTCTTTCAAGCACTCAACTCCTCCCCGAAGGCATTATCTCATCTCTTATGTTTATACCCCTACTGTAGGTTAGTTAAGAGTTGTGGAGCTTAATATTTGAGTGTGTGTGTGTGTGTGTATCTATCTATCTATCTATATATATTGTTATATATTTATGTATATGTTTATATATATATATTTATATATATACATATATATATTTATATGTATATGTATGTGTATATATGTATATATATGTATATACACAAATATATGTGTATATATGCAGATACATATATGTATGTACATATATATATATATATATATATATATATATATATATATATATATATATATATATATATATATATATATATATATATATATGTATATGTATATATATATGTATATGTATATATATATGTATATGTATGTGTATATATATATATATATGTATATGTATATGTATATATATATATGTATATGTATATATATATATGTATATGTATATATATATATGGATATGTATATATATATATGGATATGTATATGTATATATATATGGATATGTGTATATATATATGGATATGTGTATATATATGTATATATATATATATATATATATATATATATATATATATATATATATATATATATATATATATCCCAATGGCGCCGGGTGTACAAAAGAAAAAAAAAACTCTACGCTTAAACAAACAAAAGCGGCGCGCCGACTTTGAGCGCGTGAGTAGGGGACATCAGCCCGAATCACTGGCTCGCCGCGCTTTGGCACGCCGCCGGCTCGTTCGGCTGCACGCCAGCTTTCGAGCTCTTTGTGTACACGCCGATCGGCGTCACCCGGCACCAAGGTGTTTTATATATATATATATATATATATATATATATATATATATATATATATATATATATATATATATATATATATATATAATATATATATATAATATATATATATATATATATATATATATATATATATATATATATATATATATATATATATATATTCCATATTCATATCAACAAATGTAAAAAAGGTATGAATGGGAATGAATATCTTCACAATACAAGAGATGTATTTGACTGGTCAAATATATCTCTTGTATTGTGAAGATATTCATTCTCATTTATACCATTTACACATTTGTTTGTATGTATTTTTTTTCCTATCACTTCCTTTTCATTTTGTTCTAGTTTCCTTGTTATCAATAGATTTTATTTTTGCTTTGTTTTTCTGTTTTTCCATCATTTCCTTTTCTTCTTCTTCCTTCTTTCCTCTTCCTCTTCTCCCTTTTTTTCCTCTTCTTGCTCTTCTTTCTGTTTATTTTCTAGCAGCCTTTCTTTTGCATTCAACCAATAAATTATTTCAAATATTTTGTAATTAATTACAAAGTATTTAGCTACAAAGTGCATCATCAATTTTTTTCATTTTTTGTTTATTATAGAATCATACTATGAGTGTCCTCGTTTTTATCATGTAAAATTCTCTACAAAATTGATATGCATATGCCTTCTCCTCTTCCCTCTAGAGTGGTTGTGGCGCTGTCGCATCCGAGGCTACCTACTGCGTTCAGTGGCCGTGTGCTGTGCTCTGGTGTCCGTGGCAGTGGTGTGGTCCGAGCTCACCTTCTTCAGCACCTCCCCCACCATCTCACTTTTTGCTGTCTTTGTCAACCTCGCCAAGGCCAGCTACGATTACTTCACCATCGAGGTAAGGGGGAGGACAGGCTTGGGATTTTTTAGCTATTTGTTTGTGTATCAACTTCTTTTTTTCATAATTTATATATATATATATATATATTATTTCATAGTTATTATTCCTTTATTAGGAGGAGCTGTGGTGAATGATATAATGAATAGTGTATGGCAAAAAATATACCTTAGGAACCTGCAGATTAAAGTTAGGACTAAGAAACACTTGAACATTTGATTATAGAATTTGTAATGTTAAAGCGAAAGAAAAGACTTTATTTTACAGTATACTACATATATTTTTAATCTATTTATTTAATAAAAACTTTCAGGTCATATCATCCCTAACCATGGCGTACATCGCTCTGTGTGCATACTCCACCCTCTTCAAGATCCGTGTACTCAACCTGTATTACCTGGCTCCACACCACCAGACAGATGAGTACTCGCTCATCTTCTCTGGGATGATGCTGTGTCGACTCACCCCTCCCATGTGCCTCAACTTCCTCTCCCTCATTCACATGGACTCGCATGTCATCAAAGTCCATACGGACGAAACACATTACACGCAGGTGAGGGGAGATGGGGAGTATCTCTAATTATTTCAAACTAGCTTTATCATCATATTGTTTGATAGATAATTTGTAAAACTTGCAGTGACCTTTGATAAAGTTTCCTGTGTGCTGTTTTCAAGCTCCCAAATCCATCTTTCATCAACTCTTATCAAAATTGTTACATATCATACAGCTATATTGCTTCCGTTTTGCAGATAATGGGCCATATGGACGTGATCAAGATTATCAGTGATGGCTTCAACATCTACTTCCCAATGATGATAGTTGCCCTGTGTCTTGCCACCTACTACAGCCTAGGCTCACGGCTCCTCTCTGCACTGGGCTTCCAACAGTTCATGTCAGATGATGACCTCACTTCTGACCTCATTGAAGAAGGAAAGACACTTGTGAATAGAGGTACTTAGGCCTTATCTCATTATAGGTGTTTTTTATTTATGAAAGTTTAGCAGTGTAAAGATTTTAAGTAGTTTTGAAATATGAAAAAGTCTGTTGCTTTTTTATTAACTGTAAGTTGAGAATTGTGGGGTCTTTTGTGTAACAGTCTGAGTGATTCATCTGGTTACTAAAATATCTGGTTGATTTCCAACAGAGACGCGGCGACGCCAAAGGCAAGAGGACAATGCTGCTCGTCGTAGGGAATTTGCAGAGAGGTTTGGGGGCGGTGAGTCATCTGCCAGTATGTACAGGTGAGTGTTCCTAAAATTTATGCATAAAAGCAAAATAGCTTCTTTGTGCTCATTAACCCATTCGCGCCTGGTGTCATGTATACGTTACGTGCCCACTGTGAGCTTACTTGTATAATTGTTTTCACACATAGATGGCTACATGGCTACACTTGTACTTGTACTGCCTATCTCGCCTGTTTACCCTTTTCTTTAATTTACTAAAATATTTTACATTATCTTATTCTGCTGTTACTAATGTTTCTAACATTATAGTAATTATAATGCTTATAATAAAAATAACCATCGACATTCATAGCACTAGTAAAAATACATTTTCCCGCCAATTCAAGTAAAGATGAAATCAGGTAAGGCAGAGCCATCTAGTGTAGAGACATTTCACAAAAAAATATTAAAAAATGAGCATAGCATTTTCCCCGTTTTTTGTTCATTTTTACCCGTCGCGAATGGGTTAAGAACTTAGATATTTTGTTCATTATGAGCTGAGAAGATATTTTTCACCCCTGATATTACATTATTATGAATAGAGTTCAAAATAGAAGGTATCAAGGATTTGATAAAGCAAGAAGGATCTTTTAACTAAGCTAGTTATTAGTCCATCAGTGACAGTATTAGAAATCTTTCAGTGCCATAGACCAGTGATTTCTAGCAACCCTCCTGCTGCTGGGGGGGAGTCCGCGACATGTAGCAGAATGTCCCATGCTCTAGTGGGTGCTCTAGTGCGTCGTCATGCATATAGCCATACCTAGCAGATCAAGTGGTTTGTTATGATGACTATACACGTGACCCAGCAGTAATGGGTTAAAGATATAGTTTTGATTTATCATCTACTCACCTCTTATTCCCACTCAGATCTGCCCGTCAACGTGCCGAGGAGCTAGTGCGTCCCATAAAACGTGAGGACTCTTCTGAGTCAGCCCACCTGGAGCTCCTCGGGGGCTCAGACAACATTGCTGACTATTCATCCCACACAACCACCTCCTCCTTGACCCTTGAGGATGAGATGGAAGCTGGGCGTGGTAGTGCCAGGATCTCTGGTTTTTCTGGCCTAGCACAATACTCAAGGGCTAGGACTCACAAGCCTGATAAAGGCCTGTTCGATGATGTCTGAGCCAGCCATGGTTTGAGTACTGAAGAACTATCATGTCTTGTAATGTGGAAGATGTCCATGTTCATTAAAACTAGAAATGTCGATGGCCATAAGTACTGTGTTTTTATTTAGTTTATTAAATTCAGTGGAAATGTGTATGTGTGTGTGAGAGAGAATGAGATAGAGAGAAAATGCGTATGTGTGTGTATTTGTATGAATGTGTAGGTCTGTGTGGGCAGGTAAGTGCGTGCATATATGCATCCTGCCATGCCATAGTATGCCCAGATATTCAGAATTTTGAGAAGGTTCTTTGTATCTATATTCCTTCAGAATGATACTGAAAGCTATTCCCTGACTATCCCCTTGTTGTCTCTTTCTCTCTTTCCCCCTCTTCTCATATTGTTGTCCTTAATTCTCTCCCTTTCCTCCTCTTTGTAGTCAGGTCCTCCTCCAAGAACTCACAAGCTCTTTTCTGTCTATTCCTGTTCTTCAAGAAGTGGCAACAAGCTAAGAATGTTTGATTGTGCATTAACATGTATTTATATATATGTGTGTGTGTGTTTGTGCGCGCGCATGTGTGTGTGTGTGTGTGTATGTTTAATTTATATGTGCATTTGTGTATGCTTGTGTTTATTAGTTAAAATACAATGGTTGTCTACAGATTGGAAGTCGAAGGAGGAGACAGCAGCTATATGACACTGGGAAAATGTATATCCTCAGCTAAGTTTAGCTGTAGAACCACAGAACAGATGACTTTGAAGAACATTGCACACTTCTTGAAAAAATGAAAATGGAAAAAATAGGACAAATTGAAATAGTATTATTAATAATGAGTACTAATTTTTCTGATTTGACTTTATTTGTATTCAATACTAATTGATATTTTTATGCCATAATCTTGTGTTCATTGCTTATTGCACCTTTATTACTTGTCATTCCTTTGTGATTAATTGTGATTTCTTAGCTTATGGTTTTGCGTGTGAGATTGCATCACAGTTTGTGCTTCCCAAATCCATTACTTCATATTATATTAGATTGTTTTGTTTTAAATATGCATCCCTTTCATTTTTTTATCATTATTTGTATTCCTTTTCTTCTTAATTTTACTCTGTATATCATGTTAGTTCAATCTCACACATCATTTCATGACATTGGTAGTAATGTGCAATAAACATCAGCAGAAAGCAACAATGCTTTTTACAAGGTGGATGTGACAATATAAGGTAATGCAAGGAGTTATTTTCCCCTTTTACAGGTTTGTCATTGTCTTGTCAAGATAACATATCTAGCTTCTGCTGACTTTAATTTTCTTGGAGGTAAAAGGAATAAAGGATTACAGCTCTTGCAATATATCCAGCAAACCTATTGCTAATACTGTTGTTGTGGTGATTCAACTTGAGCATATTTTCTTTGTCTGTTTTTGTTTTCTTTTATATTCTCCCTTGAAGCTTCTCATACACTGTATTGAAATGCTGTAGCACTTTGAAAAGAATGTTAATCATAGGGTTATAATGTAATATTGAGCTTAGATATGTGACATTTATTTGGAAGATGAGGAAGCACGTAATATCAGTGTTGAATAAGTATCATGACTTTTCTGAACAATGTTTTTTCTTTAATACCATTTTCTTTTAAAATGTTTTGATTTACCATATCAAAGACCAGTATCTCTAAAAATAAAAATAAAAAATCGGTAAATTCAAATATTCCATTTTTCATCTCACAAGCGTAGGAGTGAAGATTTGTGTTTCATAATTTTTTCATTCTTTGTCTTGTCTTTATTTCATTTGTTTTCTTGGGGCAAAGGAAGTTTTGTGTAGCATACCATAATTATTCTCTGAGTTATATTATATGAAGGCACATCCAAAAGGGGTATCATACCAATTGTCTGACAAAACATTTGATAAAAGTTTTGTCAGTTTAAATCTTCATATATAACATGAGTGTCAGTATATTAAAGTTAAGGCACTCATGATTGTAGTGAAGATATCAAAGTTTGTGTTATAGATTAAAGCTTAAATTAACTAGGTTAAATTAAATAGGTAAAAGCTTAAATTAACAAAATATGTAATAATTGCAATTGGTCAGAGAAAAACCTTTTGAATGCCCTCACATAAAGACAGAAATGCAAGTGTGCATGAGTAATGTCCCTTCAATTTTCTTTTCTTAATGTTATTTAGAGGACATTTTTTTATTTGCTTGTGCGCTCACACGCACACGCACACGCACACGCACACGCACACGCACACGCACACGCACACGCACATGCACACACACACTCACCCACACATGCACACTCACCCACACATGCACACTCACCCACACATGCACACACACACACACATGCACACACACACACATACACATGCACACACACACACATACACATGCAACCCCCCCCCCCCCCCCACACACACACACACACATACACATGCAACCCCCCCCCCCCCCACACACACACACACACACACCCATGCACATGCATCCCCCATGCACACACATACACTCGTGTGTGTGTACGTACATATGTGTACAATATAAATGTATACATATTATACATTTGGTACTTATACATTTTCTCTTCTTTTCTTTATTATTTTAAATCACTGCTAAAGAAAGTACACAAAAATGGTTGTGTAACAATTATGTAGTGGAATTATATGCAGCATTTAACTCAGAGGGCTTTCAAAAATGCATGTTTATTATGATGAATATTGAATGCCATTTTAGTCTATGGCCAATGGGCACCATTTACATATGTGTCATGGCATGACTGACTGGTTTCTACATGGTATGTACACCTATGTCACATGCATCAAACCTACTCAAAATTATGTGCACTAAACAGTTTTTCATTTGTTTGGCCATGACTCCAGTCACTGAAGAGTTACAGTGCTTCAAAAGTAGGTCTAAAGTCACTTTCTAACCTTGTTTCCTGGAAAACTGTATACACTGTAGCCAGGTTGTAGAGAGTTGGGAAATAGTATGGCTCCTATGCTTTACATTTTTCCCTCGAGTGGCTTGGTGTGAGCAGCACCTGGCATGTGATCCACCATAGAGCATGAAGTACTCTGTGGCATTAAGTTTTTTAGTTACCCAAAAAAGAAAAAAAAAAAGTAATTTTTCCTGTTTATGAATTATTAGTTATTTGCATTAATTGGAAGTTGTCTGTGTGTAAACAAAATTTAATAAAACAGAACTACAGTGGACACTGTAGGTACCAGACACCAGTGGGTTAAGTAGGATTTACATAAAATCAAACCCCTAAATTACAAATATATATTTTATTGATTGAAAAATTATTGGAAAATTGAAGCATATTGCATTGCTGATCGAGCATCTCTCTTGTGCACAGTTCCATAAAATAGGTAATTAAAAGTAATTAATGATTAATTAAAGTAAATAGAAAATGCACCGAGAGAGTGGTCAGTTTCTCATCTAACATTAATATTTACACAAACATTGTTTGTTAAAGAGAGAGTTTTCACTTCTATTACAAACTTTTGAATTTTTTTCAGTGACAAAATTATCACAAATACCAACATGCAAATATCATAGTTTCAATTGTAGTAATAATTCATAATTCATAGTAACTAGTTTCATGCTTCTTGGAGTGGAGTAAAAGCTTGTGATCATCAATAACATCAAAGTAGTTGTAGAAAAAAATGGTTTTATATATATATATATTAAGCATATTTAGGTCTAATGCCTTTCTTGAATATCAAAATTCTTATAGATGTATGAAGGTATAGGATTAATTTTGAAAACCTCCCTCCTCTCCCTCTAGTCATATATTTTTTTTCATTTATAAAGCTATAAACATTTTTATTGATTAATGAAGACTAGATCAGTGAGTGATATTATTACCTGGATGTTGCTTTCAAGAATGTTTTGTTAAACTAACAGAAAAATACAATTATCTTGCTATCATATCATAAGTACATATTACTGTACTTAAATAAGTGTAGGAATACAGATTCTATGAAAAATGCAGTTGGCATGGCTGTGAAATGATAACACCTTTTAACCCTTTATCTAAAAAATTACATTTCAACCGCATCCCCACACTGATGTTGATTATCCATCAAAAAATAGAATTCTGCCCTTACAGTCCATTTTCAGTATTTCCTGTAGGTACTTTTTCATATTCACCATGAAAATTCTTATGTTATTTGTCTGTAAAGTGATAATTGATGAAATGTGTGGAAAAATTAAGAAAATTTGCAACAAATTGTCTTTCATAAAAATTATTAAAAAGGTAGCTAATAAGAACATTCGTAAGGGATGAGTCAGCTAGAGGCAGCACAATGTTTGGAAGTCAGGAAGGGTGAGTCCGCAGCTGGCAGCATAAAGTTTATTTTCAAGGCTATGGGCTAACCCTGCTTTCTGCAATTAATGGCAGTAATATTTTGAGCAGATATACCCACTAAGAGCAGTCAAAGGCTTGGAAGGACTTCATTATGATTACCATTAGTTATTAATAGTGTTATTATTAGTATTATCGATATTTCTAATAAACCTGCCCTTTAATATAACCATACAACTGCTACCCAAAACCAGTCTAAGCTAACATGAGCATTGGTTAATTATTTGCTGGGGGGGGGGGGTTCCTTATTCTAAAGCTTAAGTTCTTGATTTTGGTTTTCTTCTATACAATTTTTGTAATTTAATGTCGATTTCACTCTATGACTGTATTCCTTTATATTATTTTGATTTCAAAATATTAGTGATTAAAATGCACTCTTTTATCCAATCTGTACATTTCTCCTTTATCAAACACACTGCTTTCTTTAGCTTTTGTGATCTCTTATGCCTCTTTATTACTTGCACATGGATTCATAGGAGAGAACTTTGTGTAAATGATTGGTTTATTTTTGTGTTATTTATTTAAAGTGTATATCCACAGTCATGCTACATCCAAAGTAACTATACGTTCTCTTTTATTAAAAGTTATGGGCATTTAATGATTAGATTTCATTATTCCTTGACTCTTGTTGTTTTTTGTATCATTCTGCATTATTGTATATTGTGTGAAATGCATTATTCTTAACTCTACAGCAATATATTTCTTCTCTCTCACTCTGATATTTTGGAAGATACATTGTAAAGATGAAATAACCCATTTAAACACCTTTTATTTCTGTTCATACTAAAATATTCATTTCCAATTACATAAATCTGCTCCATGTACATAGTAATCCATATAACCCAAACATATTCCAAAAGGGGAGTAAAACAGGATTTTTCTTAGTTAACTTTACTATTAACAAAATGAAAGAACAAGTAACTAATCACATGACTGATCAGTTACCATTTTCTAAATCATCTGCCAGTCTTTTACAATATGCCTGGCTAATCTTAAGACTTGATATTTACAGATATATATACAGTGCATCCAATACAGAGATGCATAATTCTTTTTGTTTCTTTTTTTTTTTTCTCTTTTCTTTTCTTTTTTTTTTACATTTACATTTTACTTTTCCTGGTCACTGCATTTTGTCCTTTTTTTCTTGAATGGGCCAATCAAACTCTCGGGCATTTCGGTATAAGGCTTATTATCCAGTCTGGTTGTTTCTTCACGGATCTTGGCAGCTGTGGAAAAATGGAGGAGTTAGACCATTAACTTTTCAAGATGGAGCTA